AATTATTTCAGCCGCACCATTAGGTTCTTTAGTATATGGTGGTGTAGCTCTAATTTCTATACCTTTTTTCTTAATAAAATTAAGTAATTCTCTAGAAGAGAACTCGTTATCAAATTGTAGAGCCTTAACTTTATTATTATTAAGGTTTTTAGAATTAGAGCTATTACTAGAGTTATTAATAGCTTCTCTTTCTAGACTATTAATAATCTCTTCTATAGTATCTACTATAGACTCTCTAGTTTTTAATATTACTATTACTAGATACTTAGTATAAGCATCTCTAAAAGTAATATAATATTTAAATCCTCTAAAAGTTAGAGGTTTAATAGGTCTATCTATATCTATATATAATAGATCTAAGTAATTATTAACTTTAGTACTAGGAGTCTTAGATATATTCTACGTAAGTTTCGATTTAATACATATTTCGTAGTTATCTAGACTAGTTTTACTAGTATCTAAGTCTTTTAGATCTATTTTAGAACCTAAAGTATTACTAGGTATATTCTTAATAGCTATACTATTAATATGGCCTAGTCTCTTATGAATTAAGTCGACTGTATTCTTATTATAGACTATAAGCTCTTTATTTTTAGATATATTAGAACTAGGTTCTTCTATATCTTTTATAATTTCTATAGAATTAGAGTCTATAGAATTAGAATCTATAGAATTAGAGTCTATAGAATTAGAGTCTATAGAATTAGAGTCTATAGAATTAGAGTCTCTAGAATTAGAGTCTATAGAATTAGAGTCTCTAGAGCTAGATTCTATATTAGAGTCTCTAGAATTAGAGTCTATAGAATTAGAGTCTCTAGAGCTAGATTCCATATTAGAGTCTCTAGAATTAGACTCTATAGAATTAGACTCTATAGAATTAGACTCTATAGAATTAGACTCTATAGAATTAGATTCTTTAGAATTAGACTTATTAGAAATAAAGTCTATATCTTCTAATTCTTCTTCTATATCTAGAGTAGATAATATTTTATTATCTATATACTCTAGAGGTATATTATTAGAGCTTATAGTACTAAAAGTAGATACCCCCTTCTTATATATATCCTTAGCTAGTAATTTTCTACTAGGGGTATAAATAAAGCAATTTTCCTTATTAAAGGAGAGGGTATAACCTTTCTTAGTAATTAGACTTAGACTAAGAAGGTTAACACCTAGTTCTGGAGTATATAATACATCTTTAATAGTTACGTGTTCTTTAGTACTATTAAAATAGACTTTAATATCTCCTCTAAATTTAGCTATAATAGAACTATTAGTATTTCCCCATCTAATACTAGTATTAGTAGGTTTAATACTATTTTTAATAAATAGTTCTTTAATATAGCATGTATAGATAGTAGCACCTAAGTCTAGAATAAAGTTAATACTATTATTACTTTTAATAGTATTAATTTTAGTATTTAAGACTTGTTCTTTATCTAAAGATTCGTCTTCTATACTATTATTAATAGAACTACTAGACTTAGTAGTCTTATTATTCTTCTTATTCTTTTTTAATTTAGGATGCCTTTTAAAACAGGTATTTTCTAGGTGTCCTGGTTTTTTATAGTAACTACATTTAGTCTTCTTATTATTATTATTAGAAGACGTATTATTAGACATTTCGACGTCTATTAATTTCTTAGAACTATTAGAGTTATAATTCTTATTACCTCTAATAGATTTAAGACGTCTAGACTCGTCTAATAGTTGAATAATAATTTGTTCTAGGTCTATTTCTCTATTATTATTAACTCTTATATTCTAGGTAATAAGAGCTATAATATATTCATAATCTTTATTTAGATTATTTAATAATAGAGCTATAAGAAACTTAGATGGAAGTTTAATAGCTTTAGACTCTAGACTATTTACTATTCTCTTAAAATTACTTAGATAGTCTTCTAAGT